TATTTACAAAGGCGTCAGTTACATTAGCTTTGCATACAACATTCAGTGTTTAATACAACAGTTCTGTTTAGTGTTTACGTCTAGTCGGGGCGGTGGGGAAGACTTGTGGTTAAGCGTTCGTTCGTCTGTGTTTGATTACCCACACGGGTACAATGTATGAAGGTCATTTCTGGTGTCTCCCCGCTGTGATATTGCTGAAATATTGCTAAAGCGGCGTAAAGCTAAACAAACTCACTCACTATTGCTAGTCATGACCAGGCAATCTTTGTTATCACGTCATAAAGATCTCAAAAGTGACAACATGTCTCAAAACCATTCTGACAATTCTTTGAATAATCAATATGGTTTCTCACATTTTCTTGAGTAGTTCGAAACATCAAAAGTAGCAATATGTCGTAAACTGATGCTGGCGATAATGGATAACAGAAGATCGGTTTTCTACTTCTAGGAGACGTATCTGTCGGTGTTTGTCCAGTCGAAATTACCTGAGGAAGATAATTTATTGTCAATGGTTATACACGTGCCTGACTATCGACCAGGAATATGACTAGCACAGGAATATAAATGTATTGCACTCTTGGTGTCTCCAAACACAATAGTGACCATGAATACCAACAATATCTGAAAGTGAATTTCTACTCGCACTGTCATTACTGGTACTGATGTCGACTCTCTAAGCAGCCTGCCTATATGCTGATTGGATCTCTCTTATATGTTATAACCTTTTAAGGAGTACAAAGCAGGCTGAGGGAGGTTGGGGATTGGGGTGGCAGTCTTAGAGACTGGCCATTTGGTATTCCGGGAAGGGGGTTAGGTCGAATGGGTGTGGGTGGGGTTAGGTGAAGTCTGTTTAATCATAATAATGTCCATAATTATTTTGTAGAACAGTAACCAATGCCCACTTCCATAGTCACTCTGGTAGTGGTAGTTTAGCTCTCAAAAGTGTGGGACGTACTTATTTACCCCACTCATGCTCTGTATTTTTCGCTAGTTCGCTGGGAAAGGGATGACCTAACACTTAATTAGTGATGATCGAAATGTAATCACGAATCACTGCACAGCTATGCCTTATGTCAATACCGTCATATCAACACCATCCCATATGTCCATACGTAAACACTACAATGACACTGTCATATGTCAAGACCACGCCACATGTCAACACTGTCATGTCAAGACCACGCCATATGTCAACACTGTCAGGTCAAGACCACGCCATATGTCAACACTGTCATGTCAAGACCACGCCACATGTCAACACTGCCATGTCAAGACCACAAGCCACATGTCAACACTGCCATGTCAAGACCACGCCATATGTCAACACTGTCATGTCAAGACCACGCCATATGTCAACACTGTCATGTCAAGACCACGCCATATGTCAACACTGCCATGTCAAGACCACGCCATATATCAACACTGTCATGTCAAGACCACGCCATATGTCAACCCTGTATGTAAAGCCTGTAACATGTAATGCACGTATAACGGAATACCACTGTCTCAGTGGGCTCAAACATATGATAAATTAAATGGTACAACATGGTAAAATATCAAAACGTAACTGACATAAATAATACATCGCATACCCACAAAGAAACATACAGCCTTCAACAATGTGCTGTGTACCTGCATACAAACAAATATTGATTTCTAAAAACATAGTATGGCTATGTTCTCTTTAAATTTTTGTGCTTACTTCAATGTTGATATGGGCAAGTTAATTAACACCACAAGATTACTGTCGTACAGCCAATCTTTAAATTACAAGCAGTATCCGTGGTTGTGTTGCATCTCTTGTTGGAGACAGAAAGTAAGGGTAGATAACTCCCACTGAATAATACCTGAATTTCCAGCTTAACACAATACCATACAATCTCAAATCGGCCTACTGTTGGTGATCACTGACGGCAAGATCTAGCATGTGACAGCATAAAAACAAACACGTGGAATGCATCTTTGATAATCAACATAAATGGAATGAAAACAAATAAAATAACAACAGTCAACATTGGAATATATATTATCTATAAACGATATTGATCCAGTTAAGTATTATTCACTATTGACATATTTATTCCAGAATATACCGAGACAGACTGAGTGTATATCAGGTGTTTCCATCCTTACGTTACTAATACTATTTCACTGTCGCTGTCAATATAAATAGATTAAATAAATCACTACAATTATAGACTGTTGAACATATATCTTAAGAACTTCAAAAACAAGGCAAATATTGACAAATCTCAATTGTATTGAAATTGGAATTATTTGTATATGTTTTGACTTAAGGACCTGATTTTCCTCCCAAATTCAATAAACATATGTAAACGTCTGGCGTAAATATTCTTTCCTTCATACAGGAGAGGTCATTTTTCCGGTTAACACATATCTATTAACGGTATCAATTTCAGGGTATAGAACATTCATCACCTACAAACACATTGATCTCATACACCATGTAAAGCGTATACGTAGATCATCTACATAAATCACAGCTTCCCCCAAAATATATACATATTGGTGCAAACACCATTCAGAACATTTGATTAAGTCAATTTTGATTTACGTGTTATACTCCCAAAACTACCTTCATCAGTACAATTGAAAAATAAATGCTATAATTGTTAAATAATTTATAAGTTCCAACAACGTTTGTATTGGCGTCACGTATCACTTTAACTAACTAATTCTTATAATAGCGACATGCGTAGGTCATCAGGGAATCTATAGTGCATCAATGTATCTCGATTGTGGGAAAGAAAGATGATGGCAAAATATACCCCTTAACTGATAAATATCTATTTTATATCAATATTGGACATGAAATTCTTGATATCATTAAAAGATTTTGGACAGGTTTCAGGTGTTACATTCAATTGTAAAAACACATTTGAAACAAAAACATCGAAAGGATTGAATTCACAAGTAGGGGTTGTCAAATAGGAGTGATGACAGCATCTGTTCCACCGTCAGGGCATATTGTAATCACAGTCGGATTATGGTGATATAAGAAATAGAAATTCATGATATTACATTTCCTCTCTCTTTTTCAAACTTTCGTTGGGATCTCGAATTGGTACAACAAAACGAGACGGGATGACATTCGCCAACGCATCGCTCAAGCGCCATTAACTCCAGCGCTTTCAGCTTAATGGTAGGTGTTTGACGAATCAGAAACGCATCTCATCATGACATGGGTTCACTCAACTCTGAAGGTTCGCTGTCGTCGCTGTTTGATATGATAATAGATCGTAAACAGAACTGGCACTTTGTTAAGATGTTGCGTCATTAAAACAACAGGAAACATTTTATTCCATTTTTTTTGCATTTCAGGGTTGATGTTAGTTTGTAAGCACCAATCACAGAGGCAAAGTTCCAAGCGAGAGATGACAGTGTGGATGTTGATTTTGGATGCATAATTTCAACTTTGTTGACAGGATGCTTTATAATTCGTTAACACGCAGATCTTATTGACGTAAAGTGAGATAAAATGTGCCACGTGGCAATTTCCTTAGCAGGTTTACAGATAACAGAGCTCTAAACAGATAATGTGGAAATAACTAACGTTTTAATGTGTCGCGAGAACGTGCACCATCCATCCGACAAGAATGTTCAAACCCAGAGAGAAAATTCGAATCATACCCTTAAACTTCCAGTATACGCCCTGCTATGAATCCGATCGCTGATACCGCCTTTGCTACATTCTTGAACGTCCATTCTGATCTAAAATGACACTTGGAGGGAAAAGCAGGAGGGTTTCATTTATCACCCTGCATTAACTGAGAGCAGTTATCTCCTGTCTCAATCAACGGTTGACGGGGTGTAATAACTTGGGGCTATCAATCGGCCAAACTGAACAGCCTAGCTTAAAAGAATGGAATGAAGCTTACTGGAATCAATTGCCATTGTTTCCCGCAACCTACTGCAGTATCTGACATGACTATCGTAGAAGCTATGCTTTTTGATCTTACATCATGAATATCGTAATTAAATAGCCGTTGCATCATGATGCGTGCACAGGTTTTTATCACCTCAATCATCTGTCCTACTGATGCGGAATGAAGCATTTTGAGATAAACATGAAGCTGTATCAAGTGAAGCTGGCGCTTTATTGCGATGATGGGTAAGATTCCCGTTCCCAAATGACCAATTTCGAATGCTTATCGCAGTAATCTTCTTATGTGCAACTCACATCTGCGACTGAATTTCAGCAAATCCGTCGGCTCGCTGCAAGAGTTCTACTCTCTTGATCTAATACCAAACACTGTAAAGTAAGGTTTCTCCATCACATGAGCTAAACAATTGATGGTTAGAGTGTAACAAGTTTCTGAGCAGACTCCGTTGGGATTTGATTGCTTGCTTTAGCAGACAATTAAAGCTTTCAAAAAGAAACAGATCCCCCTAAACTACCGTTACCTGCAACTGGCATGTATCACAGATGGCAATGTTTTGGTGTTTCATTGTGAATACATTCAAACTATAACGGCTCCGTTTCACAGAGCAATCAGGGCGCTACAGCTCATATAACACCATTACGTTTAGCTAGACCGTATAGTATCGCTTTATGAAACGGGGCCCACTTTGCTATGAAATTAAAAAGTATAACGTGTCACAAATTGCACGCTCAAAGCTATTCACAATTTACAATTCAACCACAAATGGATCTTTCTAGTGTCGAACACACAACACCAGATAGGTTTGAAAACAGATTTCAGTATAAGAAAATATCCACAAATATCTTCCAAAGTAAAAAAATAAGTCTACTCTTAAACATTGAGTATTTCTTTTACAAAACAATTCAAATGGTAAATGTATCTATTAACCAGCACTCAGTTCAGGAAAGCAACGGTTGCAATACAGTTGTAGTGTATCCACATGTAGCCCTACCTCTGTGAGGGCGGTAGGGTAGGCTTGTGGGTAAAGCGTTCGTTCGTCACACTAAGGCCCGGTTTCGATTCTCCTCATGGACACAATGTGTGGAGCCCATTTCTGGTGTCCTCAGCCGTGATTTCGCGGAATATTGCCCAAAGTTTCGTAAAACCATGTCTCTCTGACACATTTTTGAGACAGATAGCTTATATCTTTCTACGTAGGTACCAAGTAGCACTAAAAATAACCAATAAATAAATACATAAACAACTAATTAAATAAATAAATATATAAATAAATAAATAAGGCACCGTAAACAAATATAAATAAATGACGTACCGTGAAACAAACCCCATTCAAAGAAACTGAGTTTTCTTAAGTGACCAAAATATATTCTCTGAACATATTTACAATACAAAGAAAGTAAACCGTTCGGTCACGTCTTTCTGGATTGGTTAACACTAATGATTACATGTGATACCACGCCCTCATTTCATCAGTATCGAAACATATCAAACTTCCATACTTTGATGTTGTTTCTAATAATCAGAGAAACAAGAAGCTCACGTCATCCAGTGAGATTTGTCACCGAGAGGAATACCTTTCATTAACAGTGGAACACCAGGTTTTGAAAACGCTTCTTGACCATCGAACTTGTCGAGCTTCAGTAGTTCGAGACAAGTGGGGTGCCGTTATTATCCAAGGTATCACGGGCATGTCAGTAAAGTCGTCTTAAACTATACGAGGATTTTGAGTTGAAAGGTTACACTGTTGTGAGAGAGCAATGTTCCAGATGACCAACAGAAATGGGTTTCACACAAAGTATCCATGAGTGAAATCGAACCTGACTAAATGTGCAAGACAAGCAAACACATTGTCCAGCAGGCTACCTTGTCGCCAAAATTTAACTTTCACTCTCATTTTACCTATATTAGAGGTTAGTTAGTCGAAAAGTTTTGCCCCTTCAGTTTTTCCAAACTATTCCCAGGAAGAGATGTACAGTATATCCTCTAATATTAGCCCGCATCGCGTATACACTCAGACGTTATAATGACCTAGGCCACGTTCTAAACAGCAATCTTAGTGCTACGATTTTCCTTAGCATGTGTTAAGTATTGGACATGATGGCCTTTGCGCGAAGATCGCTTTGGGGCAGGGCCCTGACATTTATTATGAGCTCCGATCGTACCTGTTGTAGATGTCTGTTAAAGTGTGAGAGTTACGATCGCTTTAGAGCTACGGTCAGTTTGCCGAGATCAACCAATTCTCGAAGCGATCTAAGCGCAGCTCTTGGGTGATCGTAATATCTTGCTTTAACACCACTTACGACACTTATACGGGAGTTGACACTTATTTACTAACAGAAAGTTTGGAACTTGTACGAGAGATTCGGTCGTCTTTTAGACGAAGGAATAATTCCCGAATGCGAGTGAACAAGGGTCTCGCAGAACAAGGGTCTCGTTAGCATGTACACAAGCTTGTCATACTTTGACACAGGTATGTCCATACGATCCAGGGTAATTTGTCCTTGTAATACTGACTAGATGAGCCCTGGAAATACTTACAACGTCTGTTTTTACCAACTCCATGTATCTGCCACAGATATCCTACAAACCCGGGCCTTGTTGCACCAGGAATACTAAATTGGAATGTCCCTTCTAACCCAAGGTATTTTGACCTCGGAATACTAAAGGGGCGAGTCCAAACGAACACTGGTAAATTAACTCTCGGAATAAAATATTGTTACGTCCTTACAAAGAAGGGATATTTTGCACTTGGGACTCCAAAGAGGTATCTCCATACAAGCCCAAATTATTTTTTCCTGCCCTAGGAATATATAAGATGTGTATACATCCGAGGAAAAATTACCCAAAGGAATACTTGGAATACTAAGGAATACATGTTCATACGAACAATGGGAATAGGAATACCAAAGCGGTATCTATATGCCAACACAATACTACAGAGGTATGTCTGTACGATCCCTGGGTATTTTCCCTAGAAATACCAAAGAGGTAATTTGAACAGGTAATACAAAAGAGGCTTGTCATACCAACCCGGGTAATTTTTCCTAGGATCACTACAGATATATGTCCATATAGGTTGGACCGGATAATGTTCGTCAACTGACATACAACTTGCTATAGAATACCAGAATACTCGATGCAAACCCAGAGTAACTTGCCCCAGGAATACTGTAGAGGTATGACCGTATAGTCCAAACCACAGAGGTTCATTCGAATCTATACAGGTTTGCTATAGTTTGAAAGAGGTATGTCCATTACAATCCCGGGTAATTTGCCCCAGGTATAGCGGAGTCTCTCCAGCAGCTTGTCCTTGTAGCCATGGATGACCAAGTCCTCCACTCTGGTCAGGCTGTCTTTCGGGTTCTCCCAGTTTCTGTAATGATGGAGGAGGGCATCAGTTGTGGACACCCGGTCTGTTATAAAGCCTGGACGCAGGGCCCAGATGTTGTGGATACCCACAGTTTCCACACGAGAAGGCACGATAATATACTTGGAACGTTGAAAGTAGTTGAAAGCCTTGTTCTCTCTCATCACATTCAACAACAGGATGGATTTGTATTTCTCCGCGTCGCTCCTTCCGGCAAAGTCCTTCGAGTACTGCGGCCAATCTTTCCGGAAGAAGTTACACCTTATGATGAAAGCACCAATGTTTGGGTTCTTAGCTACCTTTTTCTGAACCATAGACGTCCAGTTCTTTGCCGCCTTGGGGATGACGAACTCATCCATGTCTGTGAATACCAGGTACTTTGAGCGGTGTAAATTTCGGTACACACAATCGTTCAAGGCTGCAAGCTGCGCAAAATAGTGCACTTCCGGTGCGCCGCTTGGCGGCCATGTGTCCACCTTCATTGGAAGATGCCACTGGATTACTTCTGCAGATCCTTCTTCACCGTAGTGTTTGAGGACAGCGTCTACGTTTTTGCCTGTGCTTTGGTTGTAAAACATCACCATTCCGGCGCCCATCAGCTTGTTGAACTCTACCATTTCAACCAGCTCGTACGCTCGACTGTATTTAAAATTGAACGGCGTCACGCAAACTGTAAATTCATGAGACGCCTTCTCAGAATGTATGACAGGCAGATAGTTCGTTGGAGGTTCGCAGGATTGCCTTGCAACTGAGACAGCATATGGGCGTCGCTTGTGTGGTACGGTACACTTCAGATATACAGCCCCGTATCTGAAACACAGGAGACATTACATTAGAACTCAAATTTCAAATCACCTGTTTGACGTCTGAAGTTAGAAATAACGACGTAGCTGCTGAAGCTGATTATTATTGTAAGGGGCAGAGTATGAGGCGAAGGTCCAATCTGAGCAATCTTTATTGAAATAAATATAACATCTTTTATCTGGGGCCGGTGGGTAGCGTAATGGTTAAAACGTTTGCTCGTCACGCCGAAGACCCAGGTTCCATTCCCCACATGGGTACAATGTGTGAAGCCCATTTCTGGTGTCACCCGCCATGATATTGCTGAAACATTGCTAAAAGCGGCGTAAAACTAAATTCACTCACTCACTCATTTGTATAAGTTCAGACGTTTATAATTCTTGTCTACATTTGACACAGGACACAAAGCATTACTTCTGCATCAAAGCTTGAAACCATAGGAGTATTCGCCGAAAACCTATTATTTATGTATAATATTCGTCACGTATGTGGTGAGACGAAATGGCTCGTCATCGGATATTCCCCTGGTCGGAGAAAGCAAAGAGCGTCTGGTAACTACATGTCGTAATAACCAAGGGAGTTTGTTTCCATCAGCAGTTTCAGTACCTGGAGGTTTCGTTTCCATCATAACAAAATACTTTCAAGACTATGATGAATCCCGGAATTTGGATGGATTTGGGTGTGGGATGTGGGACGTTGGCATGGACGTGGATTGTGGTTTGTCGGATGTGGGATGTAGGGTCTTTGATGGGCGTGGGATGTTGGGCCTTTGATGGACGTGGGATGTTGGGTCTTTAGATGGGCGTAGGATGTTGGGTCTTTAATGGGCGTAGGATGAAGGGTCTTTAATGGACGTAGGATGTTGGGCCTTTGATGGACGTGGGATGTTGGGTCTTTAATGGGCGTAGGATGAAGGGTCTTTAATGGACATAGGATGTTGGGCCTTTGATGGACGTGGGATGTTGGGTCTTTAATGGGCGTAGGATGAAGGGTCTTTAATGGACGTAGGATGTTGGGTCTTTGATGGGCGTGGGATGTTGGGTCTTTGATGGGCGTGGGATGTATGGTCTTTGATGGGCGTGGGATGTTGGGTCTTTGATGGACGTGGGATGTTGGGTCTTTGATGGGCGTAGGATGAAGGGTCTTTAATGGACGTAGGATGTAGGGTCTTTGATGGGCGTGGGATGTAGGGTCTTTGATGGGCGTGGGATGTTGGGTCTTTGATGGGCGTGGGATGTTGGGTCTTTGATGGGCGTGGGATGTTGGGTCTTTGATGGGCGTGGGATGTTGGGTCTTTGATGGGCGTGGGATGTAGGGTCTTTGATGGGCGTGGGATGTTGGGTCTTTGATGGGCGTGGGATGTTGGGCCTTTGATGGGCGTGGGATGTTGGCTTTGGCGTCGGATGTGGGCGTGGGCTGTGGGCGTGGGCTATGGGCATAGGGGTAAGAGATGTGATGTGGGTTTTTAGTGTGTATGAGATGTGGAATTTGGAATGTGGGTGTGGGTATTGGCTTTTGGCGTTTATTGTTGGTGTGGGATGCGGCTGTGGGGTGTGGGCGTTTAGTGTTGGTGAGGGGTGACCATCGTTTCAGGTGAGCTAAATATATTTCCCTGTCAAAAGTTCGCCGATAAATCCATTATTTGCTTTCAATTAGATGAACCTTAACACTCACAGCGGTATAGCACCAGGACAGATTATTCCAGATTATTCATAGTTTGTGCTATACCCTGGGATTTATTGGTGACAAAGTACAACCAGTTGCGGACAAAGAAATAAATATCGAGAACTCATTTTTGGCATATACGCCAGCAAAAAGAGTAATACGAAGATTTATCAATATTGAAAGTCTGCCAACTGAAGCTAAGAGGATGTATAATGCAACTCGACCCAAACAAAAAACTCCCTAATCTGAAAGTCATGTACAATTCTGAGAATATGTATATGGTGAGAATGAATGGCTCGTCATCAGATATTCCCCTGGACGCGGACAGCGTCTGGCAACGTGCAGTGTCACCATGTCGTAAAAACCATGAGTGCTGGTCTCACGATGTCGGCAGCGGAGCCAGGTTGTTCGAAGACAACCTCTCAAAGAGTTGGTCAAGTACTGACATTATTTGAAGGAGAACGTGACATTTAGACCTTAGAACGTCCTTAGAATGTCCCACACGATATGGTGAAGTGGGGTGGAGAGGGATCGCGATCGACCGAACGCCACTTGGTCTGGATAATGTGGGAGAAAACCCCGTTTGGTTTGGTTTGGTGTGGTTGTTGTTTAACGCCGCACTCAGCAATATTCCAGCTATACGGCGGCGGTTTGCAGATAATAGAGTCTGGACCAGACAATCCAGTGATCAACAGCATGAGCATCGATCTACACAACTGGTTTACGATGACATGTGTCAACCAAGTCAGCGAGGCAGCCATGGGTTGTTGAAGACCAAGGCTACCAGCAGGCTACTCCACCACCGACACAATCACTATCAGTAATACGTGTTCGAGCAAGAGAGAGAAAGGAATCGAACCCGGGTTTTCGGCGCGTCAACTCCACCACCCTCTCGACACAATCACTAACAGTAATACGTGTTCGAGCAAGAGAGAGAAAGGAATCGAGCCCGGGTTTTCGGGGCGTCAACTCCACCACCCTCTCGACACAATCACTAACAGTATAACGTGTTCGAGCAAGAGAGAGAAAGGAATCAAACCCGGGTTTTCGGCGCGTCAACTCCACCACCCTCTCGACACAATCACTATTACGTGCTGTAGCAACCAGACACATTAAAACCAGCGCATTGTTTCAACCGTTGTCGGTAGGACTTAAAAATTCATTTAATTTCCCCAGTTACTTCCATCCAAACGTTCAGCTGCACGAAGACAAAACCTCTCCAACATGGAAAGTTCAGAGTCGTACAGCATATCGATCCAACCTAACTGCTAGGTGAGCACAGTTGTAGTTTAAACTATCCAGCCTTTATTCTTATGTTTGTCAAAGGTCTACAGACTCGATATATTCAGTATATAACGACGACCAGCCCATTCCCAATCCCCCAGGGTGTTTTTCTGAATTTCAAAACAGTTTCAACAGAGCACTCAAACATTATAGTATATATACGAGTGTCAACTCAAATATGTTGCTTTTGGAAATGATCAGTTTACATCCCACACCATGTATCCAAGTCAAGTCGAATTTCATCCTCAATCTCATTCAGATCTGCTTTCCAAGCTGTTCCAATGGCGAGACTTCTTTCTCTCAAAGGAGACGAATACCAATATCAAACGCCTCACTACAAAACCATTCCTATGTAAAATGGAGATCAAGTAAGCACTCGCATTCGCATTTGCCCAGACACATATCAGAATTGAGAAAAGAAGCAACGGGTCTCTTTTTAAGCCTGGAAATGGCATTGATTGTCGATCAGTCTCCCATGATCTTACATGCTGCGAAAGCATATTGTCTCAAGTGTGCTTGTGACTCAGTAACACTCGACCATTTCCGTGAGAACACTACATTAACTTCTTGATGTTGTTACTCAGTTGTGTGAAGTTGAATATCAAACTGAAAGAGGACTATTAAGATACTAAAAGTACGGCAGTCTACACAAAGTGCTTACATTAATATTTCCAATTTATTTAATATTTAATAGAATATACGAGAAAAAGGCTACGATTGTTTCACCTAACATAATAACGTCTTTATAGCCTATCGAATTAAGCGTCTGCAAATATAAAGTACCTTGCAATCCTACATTACCCGACGACAATTTAGAACATTGTAATACCACTATACTCATTTAGAAGCCAATTCTTCAGAATGTAATAACAACTAAAATAGTGATATCGTTACAACCGTATGATACCCTTATTAGACGCCGTTGTACGATAGCTATTAAATCCTAGTTTCATTGTAAACAGTCTGCACCAGCAATTATCAGGCGAGGAATAACATCGGAAAATATATCAATAATCGAAAGCAAGTCGTACTTTATCCGACACTTGGATATATTGTTCCACAGTCTAGGAGTTGGGCAATTATTAGCCTACCCACTGGTCGCCATTTTAACTTGGCAGTAACACGATTGTAGCACATTTCGTTTCCCTGACTTCTCCAAGGAGGCCACAAATGTCAGCCAATTTCGTTAGAGCGTCGTAAAACTACTTGAGCCGAACATTAAGAAGCACAGTTGCGTGAATCTGACCTATGTACCAGCATCCAGTTCAAAATAAAGGTCCAGCAGGAAGAACCTGCGAAAAGTGAATTTAAAAGACGTTTGGAATATTGAACCGCTGGAGTAGAAATAGTTTCTATAACTCAGATAAAGGTCACTGCGTTTAAAGTCGAATTTGAGACAAACAGCCATTGATGAAGTGAGCTACCGACCCCAAGGGAATAAACGTGGGTCAGGGAATTGGGGACGGCGTGGGAACGAGCACAGGTCAGGGGGTGATTCCGGCCTGATTGTGGGAAGACTCAGAAAGAGGTTTATGATTATTGATTCTGGAGACAACAAAATAAATAGGCTATTAGTACCAGTCAAAGTATATCGATCTCAACAGCAAGGGTTGGTTTGGCTGAAGAGCTCCATACTACGACTTCAGCCGATGCTAATAAAGGCCCCCCAAGGGCGGCGACTTTAAGACCCCTATCATCCTAAAATAATTCCTAATCCACCAATACCAGTCACCGTTCCCGATTCGGTTTCATTAAATTTCAACTGGCGGCTGTAACCGACGGATTTGAGAGACTTGAGATTCCTCCGTTCCGTGTATTCGTCTGTGTCGCTTTCAAGATAACAGATCTTCGCGTCAATGAATTGGTCCTGAATGCACAAATGAAGAATTCTAGGACTGGCAAACGGGGCTGTAAAATGTTCCATAAAACTGAATGGTTAAAAAGCTGGACTACTTAACGATTCTTTTCTCCGTTTTGTTTGCTGTCTGACGCCGCCCAGATTTTCCAGCTTTATCAGTAAATAAATCGTTTTTGGACTTGTCAAACCAGTGACAGACCTC